TATTTAAAAGTTATTTTAATTAATTTTTATAAAAAAAATATAGATTTATTTTATTATTAAATAATATAATTAAAAAAGATTATTATATTAAGATATTTTCATTTAATATAAAAAAATTATAAATATTAATATTTATTTTTTTATATTAAATTAGATAATTGACTCTTATTAATATTTTAATATATAATTTTTAATTATTTTATAAATATATATATATATATAATTAATAATATTTTTACTTAGTATAAACTTATAAAATTATTTAATTAAAAATTTTATTTTTCAAAAATAAAAAGTTTTTAAAATAATATAATTTTATAATTATTATACTTGAAAATATAATTTAAATATTAAGCTTATTACTTTATTTAAAAGTTATTTTAATTAATTTTTATAAAAAAAATATAGATTTATTTTATTATTAAATAATATAATTAAAAAAAGATTATTATATTAAGATATTTTTATTTAATATAAAAAAATTATAAATATTAATATTTATATTTTTATATTAAATTAGATAATTAACTCTTATTAATATTAACTTTATTAATATTAATATCTTTTTATTAGTAGTATTAAATATAGAATAGATTTTTATTTTAAAAATTCTCTTATTAATATTAATTTTTATATTATATTTTATTAATATTACTATTAATATAAATTATATTTTTACTTTTAATTATATATTTCTTATTAATATTAATATAAATAAACTAAAATAATTATAAAAGAAATAAATATACTTGATAAAACAAGAAATATATTAATAAAAAATAAATTAATTTAACTCTTATTATTAATTAACTTTCTGAAAAATATAGTTATAATAGTAATATAATTTCAAAAATTTTAAAATTAATAAATAAATAATTATTCATATAACTAATAGAACTTAAATAAAAAAAATAATTAATAGACTAGTAAAGTTTATATAATTAGAAATTGCTTTAAGTATTTAAATATAATAGATTTTTTTATAAAATATAATTCTAATAGATGAATTATTATAATTACAAATAAAAAAATTCATAATATTATTAAATATTTTTGAGAATAATTTTAAAATAAGTAATAATTGGCTGAATAAATTTAAAAAATTTAATAATTTAGAATTTATAAAGAATTCAAGAGTTATTAAAAATAGTAATTAGTTGACTTATTTTTATAATATAAATTAAAAGATATTTATAATACTAATAAAACTGTTCTCTTTTTTTAAATCAAAGAAAAAAAGAAAGATAAGAAATGAATAACTATTTTGTTTTGTGTAAATAAAACTAATATAGATAAATTTAAATTACTAATTATTAAAAAGTTAATAAAGTTTTAATATTTCAAGAATATTTAAAAAAAATCTTGATATTAAATATAAAGCTAATAAGAAAATATGAATAATTAATAAGATTTTTGAATGTTAAATAAAGTTTTTGAATATTATTAACTGACTTAATTATAAAAAAATCTTGATTTTGATTAATAATATTACTTCTTATATAATTAATAAAAAATTAGAGCATATTAAAGTTTATTTTTATTATCTAATATTATATCTTATTTATAATTATATAATATTAAAATAATTAACTTATTTAAAGCTTACTATTAAAAATTATATCTTTAAAATATTTTAGAAGTTATAAATATTGAAAATGAAATATTTTATTTAAATATCAAGAAAATAATTAATTTTAATATAGAAGTATGAAAAAATATAATCTTCTAGATTATTAATATAAAACTAAAATAGTATTATTAATTAAGTAAAATTGAATAAATTTAAATATATAATATATTAAAAAGAATTCAAATTAAAAGTTAATATTTAATAATTTATTTCACATATTCTAGTTAATATTATATAAGTAATAATAATTTAAAATTATATTTATTTTAATAATATTATTAAAATAAAAGAGATTACTATAGATAAAGGAGTTATTATTAAAGAAATTTTCTAATATCTAATTCTGATAATAATAAAGATAGTGAGATTAAAATCAAGAAAATTTCTTATTTTATTATTTTAAAGTAATATAAATTATTATTATTATATATAAAATAATAAGATTCAGAAAAATTTATAAAGGAATAAGATTGTAAAGTTTATTATAATATATTTAAATAAATATATTCCAGATAAAATAATAAAAAAAAGTAACAGATTTTTTTATTGAAAAATAATGATAAGAAAAGCTTAAAAGAGAAGTTTTTATTAAGTAAAATAAAAAGATGATTGGATCAAATATAATTATAATAAATATTACAGATACTATATATTTCTAATATAAGTAATCAAAAAATACAAGATTTTAGCATGACAAAGAGAGAAAGTTACTTGTATTCAAGTATATATTTATTATATTTTATATATAATATTTTCAGAATTTCAGATCTTAAAAAGGAGATGGTTGCTTATATTTAAGAGTTGTTTATATTTGGAGATATATGATATATAATTTTCTAAATTAATAATGTAAACTAATAATTAAATATGATTTTTCAAATTCTAATCCTAATACTTGTAATTATCAATCCTTGTATATATTAATCAAATGATCCAGTTCCCTAATATTAATAATAATGAGAAATGACTATATATATTTTTAAATAAATTTAACAATATTATAATTAAATGAAACAGAATTAAAATTTTATTTTAAAAAATATTTATTAATATTTATCTGAGATTAGTATTTTGAGAAAAGTCTAATTTAATTTGAATCTAGTTTGATTCAAACTCAAACTCAAACTAGACTCAAGCTTGTACTCAAACCTGGCAAAAATCTGGTTTAATATTTCAATTAGAAATACTATCTGAAATACAAATCTTTTTGTTTCGAATTATATTATCTAAATATAAAATATAATTTTTGATGATTTTTATATAAATTTTTTTATTTTTAAATTATTTTATTCAATTTCTTATATGTTTTCTTATTTTATAATTTAAATAATTAGATTGAATTTACTTACAATTTTTATTTGAAAATTTTCAGTTATGCTCAAAATATATTTATGTACATGCTTTATCTAATTATCCAATACAATCAATCTTTTTTTGCTATTGATCTTTAATTTTCATTTATATATAAAGAAACTTTGTATTATTTTCTTGCATTCAACAAAAATTTATATTAATCGCAATAGAATCTTAATAATGTTCTTTATCATTGAAAGAGTCGTTTATAAGATAATTAAACTAATGGTTTTATTCATGAAATTTAAAGCTGTAAAAGTTATGTATCACCTAATTGACAAATGCTATGGTTTATTTTTACAATATTAGCAACAAATATAAAATAAAGTGAGAAAAACAAAACGAACAGATTGATATATGCGTACATAGATGTTACCAATTAAACAAATATCAATAACTGAGGGAGCTCAAGTGAAGATGTGAATTTTGATTTCAAAAGCAAATATTTACAGTTGAAAAAGGATTAAAACGAATATTGAAATTTATCAATCTGTGCAAGCTTAATCATAATCATAATTATATGTTACTTTTCCATTGCTGCGCGTATAATTTACATGTGTAATATGAATTATGTTATGAATAACGATATATCCAATTATAACTACTAATATTATCATTATGCTATCAATCAAATAAATTTAGTGGGATACCATAATAGTCAATTCCACATCTTCTGGCCACAATAGCATACACATACCCCAGACCACATCCGAGTCGACCATCTTCACTTTGTTATTTGCCAGCAAATGATGTAGAAGCGTAGTCCTGCCGCTGCTGTTGCTGTTGTTTTTGCTGTAGCCGTTCGTTCGCCTCATTCCTCGTCGTTTATCAGATTTTCGAGTATGGCACAAAATTAGTGCGTTTTTTGGTAATAAATATCCAAGTTCGCGTGACACCGCATATTTGAATTGGTGAAAAGACGTTGTACGTGGGAGCGAAAGATACAAAGTTCCCGGCCATGACCAATAAATATTTACGGAAAAATTTATTGTGCGAACTGTGCACATTGTTTTCTCGTCTGGGCTCAGGAAAGGATGGGCTAGAAAATGGGGTGGATAAGAGAAACTATGGTGTTTGGAACGAGCAACTGGATTTGGTGAGATTGGGATTATATCGGAAAGTGACAAAGTTGAACTTGTCGCACTTTCTTGTTTGAGAATACGTCTTTTCTTTTGCGATCGTTTTTTATAAAATTTATATTGTTTGTTTGAGGTAGAACTTTCGTCGCAACGAGTTGATATCATCGTTATTGGTAGCTGATCAAATGGAAATCCATCCGAACTTTCGTAACTTTCGCTTGACCCAGGAGATTCGATACTAGTTTGGCTTGAGTCAGAACCACGTCGTTTACGTAAAAGATCTTGTGGCTTTAGTTTTTTCACAATCTTGCCTAAGAATCTCTTGGCTGGACTGGAAGGTTTCGATAGTCGCTCAATTGCTGAGACAGGAGCAGAAAATGTAGTCTGATTTTCACAAGGAATTTCTTGAATAGGAGGAAGTGAGACCGCGTCGTTGTATGAATAGTGTGATTTTTTGTTAAAATGTGTAGCTAATGAAGTTGATGGCGATGGAGTAGAGCTAGGCCAGAATTGATCACCGTCGAGTAGAGGAAGAGTACTGTTCGTTTTTGTTGTTATCGTGGAATTAGAAGACAAAGCACAGCTTTGGTGAAGGTAGAATTCTTCGCTGGAAAACTTTTTGTTAAATACGGAAAATTTACGAGACATTGTTGATTTTGGTTGAGAGCTCATATTTTATTATTATCTTTTGATATGAAAAAATTTAAATTCTGCAAGATGGATGTTCAAAAGAAACTCCCTTATTTATTCAATTTCCGTAGATACCTAAAAAGATTTAAAATTCGGAAAAGTTGTGGTTTCAAACTAATCAATGCATCCTGTTTGTATACATATTATCCTGGGCTATAATTGATTAACAAAACAGTGCTGTATACATCCATTAGTTTTTGAATTTGATGAGTTTAGAGTTGGTGATTAGTCTTTGATGATGAGTTCTAATGTAATCGTTATACGAATATGGTTAGTATTGTGCTGCAAAGGAATTATATTCTCTTTGTTGTGCATTTGTGCTTGTACATGTAGTACTTTGTATTGTATAAATGTGGAAGGATAATTAATTTTGTATAAATACCTTTCTTTTGGAATAACGCAGAAAGTCAAGAGGATTAATACTTTACGAGTTTTGGGTGGGTTAAGATTTATATTTTGGTCTCAAACAAGCGATTAAGTAATTTTTACTGTGATTACGTGAAGTTCAAAATTAATCCGAATCAATATGCGAATTGTGAACTAGCACTAGGATACGGAAATTAAAACACTATCACTTTGCAAAGATTGAAAATACAATAAAAGAAGATTTGTAATTTCTTTCTTGAGAAACCAAATGTACTTCAATCACTCTTTAACACAATAAATAAAAGAAACTTTATAATATCATGATAAAAGCAAATTAATTATCATAAGCCGCACAAAGTATACGTCTTTGTCGTATTGTTATCATCTATCTTTTAATCAAAATAATAAAATAATCCGAGATATATATACCGATATTATAAACCGTGTGATTATTGTACCGCCCAATTACATTATTAAATATTTTAAGAGAATAACTCCAATCACCACACCATTAACAATTAGCTTATTTGCTCTTTTTTATAGAAAAATTGAACAATGTAATCACCACTCATCAAAAACAAAGGTTTTCATTACATTATCTTTTTATATATCGATATATGTACATTTATTTATTTATGGAAGCACACCTGTATAAATAAGATACTAATCATTACTAAACGTGGCAAATACAAAAAGACACCGATTGTTAAAAAAAAATAGATTAACAATCAATTACTATTTTCAAATTTTTAAATTTACTATGGAGTCACAAAATCGTAAAGGTTTTAATTTTAATTCTCCGATTTCACCTAGTAAAGCACTTTTCAACGCTCTTGAGATGGTTTCTCCGCAAAATTTCTTAAAGCGATCTAAATCGACCTCAAGTACTCGAAGTGAAGACAGTAATACATGTAGTAATAAATCGGAATCCACCTCAAAAAAACCACTTGAGAAATTAAATAATATTCGTTTCAAGCGAACGAAACCAAATTCTCCATCCAAATCTGATTGCTCGAACTCGCAAACCACGACAACTAAGCCTTCGCAATTTCTTCTAACACCACCTAATTCTCCTTCATCGCCAACTTTAATAACGCAAATTCCTCAAACTAACAACAACAATAGTGCTCGCATCCAATTTTCATCTACGATCTCGCTTACAACTTACTTGCTCTGTGCGCCATTTCTTGACCTCAAACTTGTCGTGCCACGAACAATTTCCTTTCAAGAATTTAAAGAACATGTTTCCAAAATCGCGGGACTTGATTTATCTGACGATGACACAATCGCTTATTTTCATAGTTGCACAATGACTGAATTGGATGAAGAGCTTTTGAAACAAGAAAAAAATTTGACATTTATTAATTTTTTGGTAAGACAAGAAAAATTACGTCGCGTTGCAAATAGCAACTGCTGGGTGAATAATATGTTATGGATGCGTGATCAAGTTGAGGTCACATTGGTAGCTAAATGGATGACCTAATACATATCTTTTGAAGTGTATATACGATAAAAGTTAATAATAAGCGTGGTGGTGTAAATACAGATAAGCCAAAAACAATATACATATCGATATGTAAAGAGATATTAATTATTAAAAATATTAAAATATTTTTAATATTTGGCAAACTTATAAATCATTAATTGCGAAAACGAATTGACAAATTTCAATATTGTCCTTTTAAGTGATTTTATAAATAAGTTTCTAACTTTACTTTAGTTATAATAATTAACTGCTTACAAAGAGAGTATATATATAATTAAAATATGAAAATATATAAGTTAAAATTAATATTAAAGGATAAATTATTAATCGGTATGCTGTACTATAGAATTTTTAGCATTTTTAAATAATGAATTTTTAGAACATTGAATCATAAAAATCTGAAAATAATTTTACTCCTTGTTACAAAAATCCAATTTTGACTAAAAAGTAGCTTATTTTCAGTGTTTTATGGTAATAATTGAAATACACATAGTACTTTTGGATGTCATATAAATAAATATTCAAAGCTTATAATATGAAAATTATACCTCTAAATAGTTACATTCTATACATACCATCATAGATTTTTCGATCCCAATTATTATAAATTTGATCTCTATATCTCTTTATAATTTCACTTTTGATATTTTTGAGGACATGATTATATAGAGATATGACTATATCTAATAGTTATATAACTTTACTAAGGAAATAATAAATATTATGATTAAAAAATTATTAATCAAAACCTTTTATCATATAGTTGATTTTTAAAAAAGATTAATATAAAAAATACATGACATTTCTATAAGTCTTTATTTGAAATATTGAAAATTATATATATATTCTGGTCTGAACAGGATTTGATAATTATATATAGAGTTAATTATGAAAAATATCAAATTTAATTCATAATTACACAAAATTTTATTAAGTTACAAGTCTTTGTCCATTAATAAAAAAATTATATTAAATTATATTTAAATTATTTAATCTGTATTAATATAAAAATATATTATATTTTATACAGATTATATAATATTAATAAAACTAGATTTTCTAATAATATTAATTATTTTGATTATTCTAATATTTGATTTTAATTTTATAATATGGGTTGGTGCAAAAAGATTTGTACCTTAATATAAAAATTAATAATTACTTCTAATAAAAATCATTCAAATTTTAATCAATCTTTATAATTTTTTATATTAAATAAAAAATGATCTAAATTAACTTTTTATACTATTTTA